AAATATATAATTATATATTTAAAACAAAATATTACAATGTATATACATGTATATAAAGATAAGATATGTAAAAACATTAAAATTTCAATGTGTGGACAGAAGTCTGACTGTGGACAGAAATCTGACTTTGTGAAATAGTAAACATTTGACTGTGTGAACAGAAATCTGACTGTAGACCACCCAGTTAAAACCAGTCGTTTTTAAAAACTGGATGTCACCATAAAAAGGCATCAATCTGACCAAGTTTAAACAACCTATATATACCCTCCAGAGGTCTCAGATTGCACCACAGAGCATCTCGAAAAACAAAAATTTTCTGGGGGAGGACCCCCCCCCCCGACCGCCTTTCTGGGGTTTCCTCTTTTTACAAAGTCAAGCTCTCACAGGCCTGACAACACTGTTTATAAGCAACCGGATTTTGGCGAGCGGGAACATTAACACAAGTGACTGGTTACGGAAATGATTAGACTGGCATGCAGTCTTCGCGTACTAAGATTAATGCTCATGTAATAGCACAATGTAGAGTGTCGGGGGACCCGTCTATAGTGCTGGTATCAACATGGCAACCTCCATCATCGAAGACCTGTTCCCAGGGGCGGATCCAGAGGGGGGGTCGAGGAGGTCCGGACCCCCCCTTTTTACCACAAAAAAGGGAAAAAGCATACTCACGCACGCACGCACGCACGCACGCACGCACGCACGCACACACACACACACAATCTCTTACATTGTCTCCATAAAAAAATCTTGTTTAGCGCTAGTTTTTCTGATAACGATTTACTTATATATATGTAAATTCGTTATAAAAACCTAGAAATGGGCAAAGAGGGGTCCGCAGGCGTCCGGGGGGACCGGATCTGATAAATTTTTGCATTCTAGACATCAAAATTACTGCTCAGATGCTCTCAGAATGCACCAATTTATAAAAAAAAATCTTGGGGGAGGTCCCCCAAACCCCCTCCCCTAAGTGGCCTTCGGCAGCTTTTTAAAACACTAGAAAAAGTAAGCAGGAAAAGGTGTCCTTTATTTCTTCCTGGACACCCCCTTTTCAAAAATCCTGGATCCGCCCCTGGTTCCACTAATGGTCCACAACTGGACCACTAATACAGTGTTATAGTCACACTCACAGTCAATCTGGCTGTTTTAATAATAAAATGATTGTAAATAAACAAACCTCTCAATACAACAATACACAATATATACACAATATAAACAATACACAATACCTTCAGAAAGCATCAAGGAACATTCGTGAGATCAACAATTTTCCCGCGCAACCACTACCAACATCATGCTTTTAAGGGCTAGTTGAAAACCAGAAGGACTAGTATAAACCTTACCTTACTAGCTCTTCGGGCTAACTTGCATATTGTCCTTATGTCTACCCCTGCGGTCACGATATTCGGGACGTCGGGGGGGGGGGTCGTGAAAAGGACTCGGGATGACAAATTTGGGGGGTCAAGGGTCAAGATGTGTAAACGTAGGGGGAATATTTCCCCCTTAACTTAAGGTATAGGAGGAAATACGGCACAAATCTGAACGGCTTGACCTATGCTCTTAATATTCGGTGTATAGTGTGATGGGCAGGAAACCCATTACCAGTGCGAAATTGGAGGTCACAGGTCAAAGGGCAGTGGGGGAAAGGTCAGATATCAGACATTTTCTGAGGACATGGCCTAATGGACAGAGTGAAAAACTTTTTTGTTTCAGCGCTGACCTACCATTTTTATCACTTTATTGAAAGGACCATGAAATGTGCTTTCCACTGATGTGCGAAGAGTAAGTGTCTGATAACCTTTTGACCTTCAAGAGGATCGGGTTAAACATGGATTCCTGAACTGCCTCAATGACGTCACAGTGTTGTCATATTCATGGCACATCCATAATCTAGAAACCCAATAAGCCTGGATAGCCGAACGCGTACAGCACAGGCGTCACGGCTCAAAGGTCGTTGGATCGAATCCCATCTGATTTTTTATTATTTACCTGTTTTCTGTATTTTTCTATCTTTATCCATTCAACTATTTTTTTCCAATTAATACAAATATTTACATGATTTATTTACAACAATTTAATAACGACAAATAATTTTTACAACAATGAATTTTTTTTTTTTTTAATAGGGTTAGGGTTAGGGTCACAATGCACCATAAAACAGGAGTTTCAGGCACGCGATTTGTAACAACCAATGGGATTTGGGAGGTATGCAGAATGCAGAAAGTTGCTGAAATGATGTGTACGCAACTGCGTATCTGCATATCTGCGCCTAACAAAGGTGTCACTACCTATGACTTAAATGAGCCCAGACGCTCTGCGGCTCTTGTTATTCATTCCAAACTTACATATTCGTAATGTTCACACTTAGTTGTGAAATTTCATTTGAGTTCAATTAGGCATAATTATTGCAGTAGAGGTAAACATGAGTGACTGCTATCTAATTTATCTAAAATGATGATGAAACCTGGGGATTTCCTGCTTATACGAGCGTTATATTAGTACTAGGCATAACTATTGGTTTGAATGTATCAAATTAAGCACTTTCCTAATGCCAATTCATACTGTTAAGAGTGTGTCAATATTGGAAGATATTATGTTAGATAGCGATACAGTCAGTGTAACGAATTTAGACATTGGTTTGCTTCTAATTTCAGAATCCTAGGAGTAGATGAGTGGCATAATGGAACGCAGAAGTATGACCTTGTGTCCTGTCTAAATCTTCTAGACCGCTGCAAGCAACCTGCTACGATGCTGAGAAACATTAAGGATGCGTTAGTCCCTGAAACCGGTAGACTGCTGCTGGCGACGGTCATTCCTTTTGAGCCATACGTAGAGGCAGGTAGGTAACGTGTTTATGTGTACGTAACGTGTGTGTTGACAAGATGATAGTGACTGTCAAAAAATGCCCAAAAAATTATTCTTTAAGTGAATCCCACTGTTTTCTAAGTGAGAGTTTACAAGTTGCTGATAAAGTCAATATGGCGAATGAATAGACTTAAAATAGAATAGAAAATAATTAGCAGAAGAACGGAGGAGAATATAAAAGAATAGAATAGAATAGAACAGAATAGAATGGAGTAGAATAGAATAAAATAGAATGGAATAGAATAGACTAGAATAGAATAATATAAATCATAGAGCTCGGTGAATAACTCTGGCATTGATGGTTTCACAGACACCGTGGACCACACACCGTCCGAGTTCTTCCACATAGAGGGACGCACTTTTGAAGAACAAGTGAACAGCATGGTGCGGAACGTGTTCGAGCCTGCGGGGTTTGTGTTGGAGAGGTTCACGCGTGTTCCCTACCTTTGTGAAGGTGACCTCCACCAGTCGATCTTCTGGCTAGATGATGCATTGTTCCTACTGAGGTCCAGGTGAGTAGTTGCGCACCCCGGAACAGATGGTGTGACAACGAGGACATGGTCACAACGGTGACGACAATGATGTCTCACCGCCCGCACTGCAATTATTATTCCGAGTGCTCCCAGGACTGTAATCGGGTAGCATGTGAGTTTCCATTGAGCAATCATGGCAGCAAGGTTTGTGATTGACCTACCAATCTGAGCAAGGCGGCGATACCTCTGTTAGAGGTCATTGGTAGGCTGGATTTTTCATGTGTGCACGCCAAAATGTGTGCCAATAGAACATTCTATTGCAACAGTGATTGGCTAGAGTTGTCTGTCTGTAACACCAGGCAGATAGGTATTTAAATCCAGCTGCGCACTTGAACTAGGTAGAATATTAATTAGCCGAGAAGTGGACTGGAATATTCTGCGTGGTGGAATACGTTACATGTTTAGAAAAAGAACTTGAGTTAGCAGCAAAGGAAGAGGCATTGAATGTGTGTACTCGCAGTCTGCACTGAGAATGTGTTTCCGAGTATGTTCTTTCTGCCTAAACTCAAACGAAAACGATGTTCTTTCTATCAAGAATATCTGTGGATGATATATGGTGTATGCTTAGCTCAACTTTCACACATACATACGCTGTTAGTTGCTGGTCTGGTCTCTACATGCATAGGTTATAATATTGCACAAGTGCATTGGAATATGCAAAAAGTTTAATGTGATAATAGGTGTAAATGTTATAGATATTTTTTGAGAACTTTACGTGGCCCAAAGGGTAGTTATGGTTGAAGGACCCGTCAAACCATCAGAGATTCAGGTACAGTAGGTATATATTTTGTTTTCGAATTGTGTACTGTATATGAATTCGAATTATTCGATTTATGTTATCTAATTCAGTAAGGCCTGTGTAAGTGACAACGATAGTATCATGAACATATCTTGACAAGATATAGGTTGTGATAGATAGTAGGTGTAGCACTCGCAGTTTCACGCTTACAAATGAACCACGTATGCTGGATCAAACTATACTCGTATCAAAACCACAGATCGATCAATCGATACGATGTCAATTACCCATGATTCCATGAACCCCATGACCTTAAACAGTAAGATGAGACACTTGACCAAAATATTGGGTCACGCGCAATACTAGCACCGACTAACGGCTGGTGGCGCATTGTAATTTGTGAATGACAGTCGGCGTTACAAACATACAATGGCTCACATAAGTTGCCTGCTAGGAAAAGCGCCGGTCAAAGCTGTTCTGTCATACACAGCAATAACCACAGGAAAGAGCATCGGCAAAGTTGATATGTAAAACTAATTAATTAATTAAATTTATATATAATATGATATGTAAAATTAATTAATTAATTAATTCAAAGAACCACAGGTACACCGAATCTGAGGGGCTTCCCCCGTCCAGGGAGGTGTTTACCGCACATGTACTACACAATATAGAAACGTGGTGGGGGAAGTTATGTACATGAGTAAGATACGCAGCCCGATGCCACAGTCACTGGCGAGTTCTAACGGAATATGCAAAGCAAATGAAATAATGACTTCATGTCATAATAACAAAATAATGACATTTATTTACGGTAGCACTTCATTATTGTAGGTAATGAGCTTTTTTATCAGGCAGCTGGTAACCTGCAGCATATACTAAGAATATCCATCTAAGATATTCTAAGTATATATGCCAGAAGATAGCTCGCCGTTTGGTGGCGCTAGCGTAGCACGTAGGACAAAATTTTCATCTGGCTAGCATAGCGATTGTCCTATCTTATTCATTGCATACGGTTTTTGGTACGGTAGTATAAAGTGTAGCAAGTGCATTAACTGATGGTGTCGGGTGTAGATTGATGGAGTGTGAATGGTGTGATGTCCTTTAGTGCTGAATGTGTATTGCACAGTGGATTTGACAATTCAAACAGATCAAGTGACTGTTCTTGCATTCGTTGGAAACACTACAGGAACGTATTTTTGCTAGCACGCATACTGATCGCATCTCGCTCGTTATTTCTATATGCACATAACTGTGGCTGAAGGGGTCGTTGTCGTATCAGGTACTACATATAATATGTACCCGAGCTACATATATGTATACACAAAGTGTACCAGACTTGTACTACAGAAGTGTACCCTAACCCTAACCCTAACCCTAACCCTAAACATACTTCATATAAAAATATAAACATAATTCTAAACAACCTAAAACTACCTCGGTACATATATGTAATACCTGATATGACAACGACCCTTCGCACATAACTGTGTCTGTGTCAGTTTTGCGTATAGCTGTGTTATAATTAGCTCCAAGAAACGGTCTTGCTAGGTTTAGAAGACGAATTCTTTGATTCTTTGTATATAAACAATCAGTCGCACAGCCTCGTCGGGCTATGTTATAATATGCTGTGCATATATTCGAGTAAGAAGTGTAATTTTGTAACTTATGGTGTACTATGGTGGCCCAGTGTTATAATAGTTTATCACAAGACTTTGACGTGGCCCTCTGTTATAATACATAAACATAACCATGTACCGCTGAGTATGGTGGCCCAGTGTTATACCTAATAGTTTATCACAAGTCTTCGACGTGTATATCGTCTATGGTCTATGGACGTGTGTATGGTATAAGATTATGTTTATGTATTATAACAGTGGGTCACGTCGAAGGCTTGTGATTAACTATTATAGCACTCAGCCACCATACTCAGCGGTATATGGTTATGTTTATGTATTATAACAGTGGGCCACGTCGAAGACTTGTGATAAACTATTAGGTATAACACTGGGCCACCATAGTATACACTGTTTAATAATATATACGCATGTGTATATATGTGTGTGTGTGTATGCATGGATGCCATTGTGTGTGTGTGCGCGTGTGTGTATGTGCGTGCGTGTGTGCGTGCGCGTGTATGTGTCTATAATGCACCACGAGTCAACATTTCCAAAAGTATGTACGGCTCATTAGGATTGTTGTCAGAGCGTGATGTGATGAGGAGCATATTGATCAAGTTTAATACAATTACTCTAGTTTTATAGTAATTAATATGCTTTGATGTTATAATTTTGACGTGAGTGACCTCATCGTCTTCTCCTCTCGTTTATCTCTTTCCCTTCTAACACTCTCGGCATAATATTTAGGGAAACGTAATCTATGCTGTGTAGTTGCGGTTGTGAGTCTTTGTTCGCTGTCATGCCCGGGCGAAATAGTACTTTATTGAAAGAATAGTCATTCATAGAAATTGTGTTCAAAACGCAGGAACAAGTTGTATTTCAGGTAAAATGTTATTCTTCTCGATCGTTCTTCCAAATCATACGCAGTACAAATTTTGAAAGAAGTGTTCTCTCGGAATATATACCGCTCACAAAAGTAAACTATCAAGGCGAACATGTCTGACTGTTCCCAATTAGTAACTCTCCGACCCTCGCCCCGGCTAATCAAAGCTTGGCAGCATCACTACCCAGTTGCCAAGCCACTGCTGTGTATAACTATGAAGGGCGCAAGCCGTCTCGGGCCCCGACTAGAAGATATGACTAGAAAATAACGCTGCCCCAATGTTCAGTATAAAGTTAGGGTTGCCCCTCGTCACCGTATTAACACGAGTAGGTCTCAGGGGAGAGATAGTGAATATAGAAATAAGTTGTGGATATAGAAATCAGTTAACCCTAACTCTAACCCTAATCCTAACCCTAACCCTAACCATATCAGCTATAGATAGTTACCAGGGTACTTTCCGGTATACCGGACCGTACCCAGGGTACGTTCCGGCAGTACCCCTGGGGGACATAGACCCTTGAGCCTAACGCACATATCACTTCGAGCACTCGTCATACGGTGAGAGAGAGAGAGAGAGAGAGAGAGAGAGAGAGAGAGAGAGAGAGAGAGAGCGAGAGAGAGAGAGAGAGAGTGTGTGTGTGTCTCTGTGTGTGTTATACACATATATATATATATGGATATATC